GCAAGCACATTCCCAGCCTTGTCCGTCTGTCCGCCCGCCTGCCTACCCGGCCTACCGACCGACCGACCTGCCTACGCGTGCGTGAATTTTCTCGTCGTGCACAAGTGTCCATCCACGCCAGGCTGGGCTGACCAGTCGAAAGGCACTGGTGCGTTTGGCTTGGCTGGCTTGGCTGGGTGTGGACTGGTTGTCGTGCCTGTCTTGTCGTGCACTCCTCACCCGATCTGAGGCAGTGTCCATGAGCTAGCGGACTGACTGAGAAAACACACACACCCGGTGGCAGACAGCGGGCGGGCGGGCGGGCAAAACCCTTGCCGACAGAGTAAGTGGCGCAAGTCGTGTTGTGATGATGCACGTGTGCATGGCATGGCATGGCGAGAGAGATCTATGAATTGCGAGAGAGAGAGAGGTGTGTTGTCTGTCTCTCTGTACGTTCGTTATGTGTGTATGTCAACGTATGTATGTTGATTGAAGAGAGAGCGGAAAACGAATTGTTTTGGTTGGAAAGGGCGAGGGAGGGAGGGGGTCTGGCTGGGCCGGGTCCGTCCGCTGTTTTTGGCTGGCCGGCCGGCTTGGTTTGTTGAACAAGTAAGGGGTGGGTGGGGTGGCTGATCGGGTAAATGGGTGTATGTATGGGTGTAGAGGGGAGAGAGAGAGAGAGAGCTTGGATTGCTTACTGTGGCTGGGACGGTTGGTGGATGGATGATGCATAGCATCCATGCCATGAGTGCAGTGAGTGCATTGATTGGTGTGTCCGTCCGCGTATGTATGTATGTATGTTATGTGCAGGTGGAGTGGACTGAAAGGAGAGGATGGATGGATGGTGACTGGCTGGCGGTTCGTCTTTTTGAGTGCCCTCAGCTTCGTTTTGGTACTCATAAACACCATCCTACCTGATTTGCTTTGCCCTGCCTGCCTGACTGACCCGTTTCCACTGCGTGTCTCTTCCTTTCCCACTCACTCCACAGCTGGCTGCAGGTGCATTCCTTCAAGCTTGGTAGGCTGCTGTGCATTGTGGGGGCTCGCCACGCACGCAGGGACGGGAGGGCAGGGAGCGACAAACCGACACAGAAAGCCGTGTTTCGGTGACGGACGATAGTGGGCCGCAGACAGACAGACAGACAGTGCGGGCGGTTAGTGAGAGAGAGAGAGAGAGAGAGGCACAGAGGGGAAAGCTAGTTGAGGGATGGATGGAGACGGCACGGAGGCACCGCGACCCGGGGCGGCTGTCGAATGCACTGCACATGCATGTGATGATGTGTTGGATTGATTGCGTGGGAGTGAGTGATGCTATCTATGGTGTGTGGCTTTTTTCGCCTCTCCTCACCTAACCTCGTTTCGTGCACATCTTCGTACAGAGAGGACGGGTAAGTAAGGTATTTTTTGTGGTCTGTTGCTGACCTGACTGACGACGAGCCTGGACGATCGGATGAATGGATGGATGGATGGACGTATAGGGTGGTGTTGTGTGTCTGTCGGTCTGCCTTCTGTCTGGGTGTCTAGATGAGCAGCACATGGCTCGCACGGCAGCGAGCCACAGGGCCAACACACACACTCACACACACTCACACACACTCACACACATAGAAAGGAGGAGAGAGGGGGAGAGAGGGGGGAGATGACTCCGTCTGGCTGGCCGCACCGTCCCCACCGGCGGATTCCTCTCGCGCTCTCTCTAGTTTAAGACAGTTGACGGCCTAGGATAGCGTATTGTATATCACAACGGACGACACTGCCTGTATGTATGTATATCTGTGTGTCTATGTGCTGTGCACGGATGGGATGGCTGAGCGCCGCTGCCATGCCATGCTCTCTCGACGGACGGCGCTGGCTGCTTTTAGTGGTGGATGGCATGGCATGACATGACATGACAGACATGGATGGATGGCTGGATGGCTCTGCCTCTCTCCTGTCGTGCCCCTCTCTCTCCAGATCTGGAGGCACCCCCCAAGCAACCACCCAAGCAGTTACGTGTTGTTACTGTACGTGTCTGTGTACAGTGTGTGTGTACGTAAGTTGGCTGTGTCCCTGGCCTCCTACTGTTAGGCACTAGGCAGGTCCGTCACACAGCCAACCTAACCACACGCCCTTTTCGTTTCATAGATGGCATGTTTTGCGTGTATCCATTCGTGCAGCCAGCCATTCGTGCAGCCAACCAATGAAAGAACAAGTGTGGCCCTAGTCAATGGATGGACGGATGGATGGATGGATTTCTTCATCTTGGTTCGTTTCACGCCCTTATCGCTCCTTGGAAGTGTTCGTGTGTGCGGCACTTTCTGTGTCCACACTCGATTCTTTTTCTCCCATCTGACAGACACGGCCCCTCCTCTTTGTCTTCCCCTCTCTGTGTGGTGTGGCTGCCTGGCGTGCGTCGTCGTCTATCTCTTTCTAGATGCTGAATAGCGCTCCACATGCACACGCACACCGCCACGCCACTTCACAGCACACGAACACAGACTCTCTCTTTCTCTTTCTCTTTCTGTCTGTCTGTCCGTCTGTCTGCCTGTGTGTCTGTATGGCCAGCGTGTTTGCCTTTGCTGCTGTGCTGGCCCCCCTCCCTCCGTCTGTCTCTCCACCCCTCTCTGTCGTTGTTTATATCCGTGCACGTCCGTGTCCTCTCAGTCCAGTGGGTCGTCTTCTTCGATGCCTCTCAGCCTGTCTGCCTGCCTGTCTGCCTGTCTGTGTATTTAGTGGCTGAGATGGATTGCTATGTATGCCTTGCCTTGTTGGTACAGACAGGTTGATGCATTCATGTCATGTCATGCACAGACAGCGAACAAGCCTTTTACGTGAAGCCATTTTTCGCTGGCTGCCGGCTGCCATGTAGACTAGGCGACGCACACGCACATCCACAAACACACACACACACACTAACATGCTCTAACCGCCAACCAGCTGGCATGGCATGCCGCCGCCACTCGTATGATCATTCGATATTCTGTGTGGCTCCTTGCCTGTCTCTGCCTGCCTGCCTGCCTGCCTCATATGCACATACCTCCCTGGGTGTTGGGTTGTCTCTCTGTTTCTTTTCACCCAAGGGATGGATGGATGGATTGGCTGTGCATGTATGTTGTGGGCCACACATAGCTATCTTAGTCAGTCGGCAAGAAAGACCAGGAGAAATCTGCCTATTTTTCTGCCTACTATCTACCTGTTTGTTTCACCCTCCTGCAGCAGCCTGCCTGCCTTCATGATGACGGTGGCTGTGGATCGGCCGCTCCGTGTATCGGAAGTTTGCCACGATCCACTGACTGAGTACGGCTCGATTCGACGCGTCCGTGTGTGCGTGTGTGTGTGTGTTTTCTTTTCCTGTCGTTATTGTGCTGAGGCCAGCGATGCCGAGGACAGGGGCAACAGACACACACGAAACGACCAACAGACAGAAAGACAGCATCGCCTGTACGAGTGGATGGATGATGTATGTCATATATGTATACCCGCAATGGCTTACAGATGAACGGACGCAACGCATGTCAGTCAACGCACCAACAGGTCTGTCGACAGAGTCAAATTGAGTCGCATCGCATCACATCGGATCCCATCTCAGTTTGCACTGCCTGGCTCGCCGCCTTGCCTTGCCTTGCCTTGCCTATGCTACAATCTACATGTACCCCCCACCTGCATGACCGACCGACGGACCTTCCTCTCAACAGACAGACAACACGCAGCCGTCGTCTCAAAAAGCTAGCTCAGGCAGACAAGCAGCCCGGAGCAAAACTCTACAACCATCCGCACACGGACATGGACACGCAGACGCAGACGCAGACGCACAACCCATTCACGGCACTGTCGATTACCTTACAGCACACGCACAAGTGTTGTCTCTCCCTCCCTCCACACCACACAGACAGAGACAGCCAGAGAGACGCAAGAAGGTAGGCAGCGAGAGACAAGATGAGCACCCCCACGGGTCCACCCGTGTGCCCCTGCTGGTCATATGTCGAACCCCGATCGGTAGTCGTCCCACAGGCGTGCGAGGAGGTGCCTTGGCTGCAGCGGGCTGCCAAAGTCGAGAAAGACGTCCGGCAGCTCCAGGAAGTCGTCCTCTATCGAGCGGGTCAGCGCCTCCGTGTCGATCTTGAGCTTGCAGATCGTGTTGACCACTGAATTGTCGTCCAGCGCCGTCGCTGCACCGGCCACCACGTCCAACGACTGACGCACACAGACAGACATCACACGACACGACACGACACGACGCGACACAACACAACACAACACAACACAACACAAGACACACATGCATGATCCGCTCAGGCAGGCAGGGCATGCATTCCCGCCCGCCCCACGTGTGTACCTTAGCGTCTCTGGCCGTGATGAGTGGCGTCCTTGTGGACTCTATTTCCTCCTCGCCCCCCATCTGGTCGTCGTATGCCATCTTCTGGTTCTTGAGCACACGCAGCCGCTCAGACAGGTCCACTCCGTGGGTCGTGCCGGGGGGATGAGGGTGAGGGTGACTGTGAGCCGGGGAGGCCGCCTGCGCGGATGGGGGAGGGGTTGAGGGGGGTGGGGGACGGCTCTGCAGACAGGCATGTATCCATGTGTGGCCATATGGTTGGAGTGCTGTGGAGTGGAGTGGACAGGCTCGTACCTTTTTT